GCAAATCTTCTTAAATATAAGTTACTCCTTCTCATTTTTTTTATAAAAATTTGATAACTAAATTATACGATTTAAAAAAAATTAAAATTAATTAAAAGTAATAAATATGTAAGAAATGAATTTTTTTAAAACATGTTTTTATTTATAAGAGGCAAGTAAGGGAAACAAATTATGAAAGAAAATATAGTAAACCTTTGAATTAATGTAATATATAAAATTAATTAGGGGCAGAAATGATAAAACACATTAAATGTTTAGGTAACCATAAAGGGGATCTTATCAAAATGATCAAAACAATTCAAATTTCAAACTCTTATAAAAAGGACCGGAAAATTTTGATCGTTAATATAAATCACTAATAATATATTTAATACTTGTTTTTCCAGTTTTAGTCTTATTAAAAAGAGGAAAAGAATGGAGATACCTGACAACAATTTGTCAATGTATTGAAAAATTTTTGAATGAGAATAAGATTAAAAGATTTGTCATTTTAATCTATCTCTTAATGTACGAGAATGTGTTACAACTGAACTTATATCAAGGATGATAGTGATACATACATACAAAAAAAAAGGACAAATTAATAAGCCACTGGACTTACTCGTCTATTACAAAATTTTTAATGTGACAAAAATATCTACACTGTATATAAAAGATAGGGATCCATTCGAAGAAATTTTAGTCTTATTAATTTTTATAATTAGTGTGATTAAACATTTACACACATCTCATCCTTAATTTTCAGTAAGAACTGCAATGGAGAAAAAGTCAAATTTAATTTTCTTTTAAAAATAGGTATTTTAACCATTTATTAAAAAGAACTATAGTTTTAAAAACTCATAATTAAATGAAAGAATAGAAACACTTTTCTATGATATACTCAATATGAATAATGTGTCATGCTATTAATAATTTATTGATAATAATACATTTTTATCATACATTTTTAAAATAAAATAACATATTACGATGTGCACAGAGTTTAAAATATAAATTGCATTGATTATATTTAATGAACTTGATGAATATAATGACATATGATGATATATTAATATTAAATATTTGATTATGTAGCCATTTAGATATTTGTTACCCCTTTGCTATTTATAAATTACTTCATTAAATTTTTAGTGAGAATATACTATTTCATCTTTCATTTATTATAGTGCATGTAGTTATTTTTCTTAAAAGATGTATATATTAAATAGGGGTAAAGTTGAAAAGTTATTATATTTTCACAAAAAGTTATTGCATTTTAAGATTTTTCTCAATTTATATGAAATATACTGTAAGCATCTTATAAATAAGATTGGAGGAATATTACGTAATTTGTTATATTTTAAGATATTTCGTTATCAGTCATAACTAAAAATCGATTAAGATACATTTTTACTTCAGAACTTTTTTTGGGGCCTCCCGTTAAGCAGATTGCTAGTTAAGTGCAGAGAAAATTATTGATAATGTCTCAAAAAATTAATCACGTGTTACTAAGGGACACTTCACTTTACGCCTCCTTAACCTTGGGGCGATTGATTGGTCCTAAAAAATCTGAGGGTGAAAATGCACTTTTATCCAATAAAAATGATATTTAAAATTTTGTAAGGAGGGAGCGAAATGGCTAATAATGAGCACCCAAGTTATCATGAATCCTCTATTAATATAAAGTTTGAGTTAATACAGATTGTGACTCTCATTTTGTTTTTGGCCCATTAAATTTCAAATCATAAATTTTTAGTTTCTCAAGTTTTTTTATTTAAAATATTAATCCCTATAATTCAACAAAAATTTGAATCACTTGGTTATTAAGGAATCAAAACCTATGGTTTAAAAATTGAGAAATCTAAATCAAAATGAGAATAGATTTAATAGACTAAAGATTATACAATCTTCGACTTCTGACCTCCGATCCTTAATATAAGAACTTATTTAACTTTCGATTTGGTTATAAATATAAGAATTTAATCTATTTTATCTTTCATATTTATCTATTCTTTTAAAATAGTTTTTGTAATAGGTGCACACGTTAAATATTTCATCAAATAATAATTTTAGCTAATACATATGATTAGTACGGATATTTTAGAGAAAACAACACCTATTTATTGTAAATAACTAACTTAATTAATTCTTTTAATCTATTTAAATTAGTTAACTAACTCTTATATTAAAAATTGGATGAAGTATTAACCGAAATTTTTATGCCTCCAAAAATTGCACAGTCAATAGCAGAATAATCCACAACTAATATTACAATCACAATATGGCCATTAATTCCTAAAAGCACAAGCTACGGTTGCTATCTCTGCACTTTGTCGCTAATTCATTAACACACAACCCGTTGCTCCACATTATAATTGCACTGCCACACTAACTAAACTGTCTTTCTTTGATATTTAATATAAAAGTTAATTGACTAATTTGAATATATAAAAAAAATCAATTAAATTAGTTATTTATAATAAATATGTATTGTTTTTTTCTAAAATATCATTGTTTATTAACTAAAGCTACTATTTAGCATATACAACTACTACGAGGGATGTTTAGATTAACCCAAAAATACTTTTAAAAAATATTTTTATGTAAATTGAGATAAAATTCATTTCATACTGTAAATTGCTTTTAAAATCATGATTTATTTTTCATCCAAACAACCCCAAAAATTACTTTAGGAAAGATAGGTAAATATGATAAACAAAATATAATAGGATTTTTTATCTAGGACCAAATTAATATCATAACATTTTTTATAAAAATCACTGAGGTAGTAAGATTTAGTAAAGAGGTATGCTTCTGGTTTTGGTTTTCAATGCAAGATCTTAATTTTTTTGTCTCCCCCAAGTTATAATCTCTCTTCTAAATTTTTTCTATTGATTACATTTTTCATTAAGCAAATAATTTTATAATCCCTTCATTTGGTCATTTTCACCTTTTTCTATTGTTTATAATTTAAAACGATTGAAGGATGAAAGACATCTGCGGGGCGATGCAATGCCAAAGAAAGGTGACAAAGATTCATGACATGTTTGGGTACAAATGTGTCGATACCAGAAAAAAGATGAAAAGGCCCAGGTGACCAGTTTTCAAAAGCAACACGTGAAGATATGATCAGTGGTTTAAAATCACACCCTAATTTGACGCCATTGATGATCTGATCCGAGCTTTGTTTCACACATCTCTGTCCATGCTCAACGTGACATTTTAATTCTTACAATGATAACTCCTTATTACCCAATGACCATCACACTCTCAAGGTCCCAAAAAAAAAACCCATCGTACTAAAAATAGGTATTTTAGCGATATATCTTTCCCTTTCTGTTAAACTTTAGATTATTTATTATCTTCTGGGTTAACATCAGTATGCATCTTTACAATTTCATCGAATCTGGATTTTATCATTGTAATTTCAAATGGTTTTAAAAAGACCTAGCCTCATTTTAATACTATCTCTAATTCTATTTATAAGACCTCGTTTATTATAAATAAGGTCTTATAAATAAAACCAGATAGTAGCATTTTGATTTCTATACTCAACAGTATTAATTCAAGTTGAGTCCTTATGAAACTATAGAACTAAAAGTCATGATTTGAAATTATATAAACCAAAATTAAGATTCCATTAAAGTGTGGGAACCAATAATAGTTTTAATTCAGAAGTCACTTTAAGTTGAAATCTTCTTTGTTTTGAAAATGCATTATTTTACAAATCACGAAAGTAGGATAATTTATTAAAAAAGAGAATTTTATTAAAAAATCTGAAATTATTAAAATTTAAATAAATTTTTTTATAGAAATATGTTGTTATTTGAAAATTCATTGTGGTTTAAACTTATTAAAATATTATTACTAATCCTGATTTAGTATTTAGTGATTAATAATTACAAGTATTTTGGTGAGATTTTTTCTTTATAAAATATGATTAAGATGTTGAAATATTTTTTAAAAAATTATTACTGTGTTTATTTTTTGGGGAGTTTATACTATAAGAAAAAAGAATTTTTAAAATACTATTTTACAAAAAAAAAATTGGCACCAAAATTTGTGGGGCGGCGAATGAACCACGCGCCAAAGGAGCAATGAGAGACCCCATGTGACTTTTTAGAGATAGTGTCCATAAAATTACAAAAAACTACACAACAAAAGTCTTCATCTCGTTCTTCCCCTCTCTCTCTCTGTACTAGAATAGTTATCAGGCTTATATAATTGGAGAGAGAGAGACCTGTTTGGAAGCAACCCACCTTCTTCTGTTTTGCTTTACGGGAACCCCAATTAGTATTAGAGAGAACAAAAGTTTCGAGATTTATTAGAGATTACAACCAGAGAAGAAAACACTTGAGGTTTGAAAGTGAGAGAGAGAAAGCAAAAAAAAAAAAAAAAGCTGAGAGGAGAAGGGGCCGAACGAAGCTCTCAGAACTGAAGGAGAAAGATAAAAGGAGATGATAGTGATGATGATGATGATAAGAGAGAGATAGAGAGAGATATAGAGAGAGAAAGAGAGATCGGGCACCAACTATAACAACGACAGTGAATACAAGAGTAAGAAGAAGAAAGGTCTCACTCTCTCTCTCACTAACCCATAAACCTTTTCCTTTTTCTGTAAAAAGAAGCCAAAGTGACAGACAGTCGTAGTAGATATATAGTAGTAAGCCCCCAGCACAAACAGCAGCAAAAAAGAAGCAGAAGAAAGCAGAATCGCAGAAGAAGAAACAGCAGAACCAGAAGCAGAAGAAGAAGAAGAGAAGTGGGTTCGTTTCTCTCTCTCTTCTTCATTTGGAGAGAGAGAGAGGAAGAGAAGAAAACCCCACACCCACTAGAAAGTCCGCCCACCCCACCCACAAGATCTATCTATATATCTATCAGTCTCTCACAACTCTCTCTCTCTCTTTCCCTCAGGAAATTCCCTCTGATAAATTTGCAGAGACCCCACTTGATTACATAAATTGCCTTCCCACCTTCAGAAGAAGATCTTATTGGTTTATGTATTTTATATATTTATATAGAGACAGACACATATTGAGAGAGATATTCATATATCTTCAGTTGTGGCTACCGCAAGGAGGTTGCTTTCTGATTCTGGCGCTTTTGCTGATTGGGCAGCTTCTTCCGCCGGCCGTGCTGCCCCCACCGACGAGCTCTCCCTCGGCTTCAATGCCGGACCTGCCGCTGCTGCGGCTGAGGGATCCGCCACAGGTCCCGCCTCCGGAATGTGGTCTGGTGCCGCCTCAAGGTCGTTCAATTACGGTCTCTCGCAGGAGATGGGAGGCATGCTCGGCCTCCGCGATTTCTACGTGGTGGCTCCGGCGTCGTCGTTCCATCACCACCATCACCATCACCATCACCACGACCAGTCCGTCATGACCGATCCTCATTCGGTGAACAGCTCGAACCCCGCCACTGCGCTCGGCGTCGGCGTTATTCCTCTACTCTCTGCCACGCCGTGCCTTGGCCAGGCGAACGTCAGCGCCGAGAACAACGAGACAACATTGATGAGTAATCGAAGCCGAGGCGGGGCAATTCAGCTGTGGCAAGACCAAGAACCTGAGCACGGTCATTATTTGAAGAAACAAGGTACAACGATGTTCGAACTCAACGACAGTTCGGGGAATCTGATTCAGAACGAGAATGGATTAACCGTCTCCGCCACGAACAGCGGCGGAACAACGTGTCAGGATTGTGGGAACCAAGCGAAGAAGGATTGTAGTTACAGGAGGTGTAGGACTTGCTGTAAGAGTCGGAATTACGACTGCCCAACTCACGTGAAGAGCACGTGGGTGCCTGAGTCGCGGCGGAGGGAACGCCGTCTGATGGCAGCGGCGTCTGCCGCCACTGCCGGTGGATCCACCGGTGCTACTTCTGGTGCCAAGAAACCTAAACTCGTCACATCACAACAACAGACCACAACAAACTCTCACACTTCCACATCTAATAACACTCCTCCTAGAAGCTTCGACACTAGCTCTAGTCACCAAGGTCTGTGTATTGCTCTCTCTCTATCTGTTTATATATTTCTATATTTCATGCTAATGTTCTCATTTATTCCAAGTTCTCGAATTGCTGATATGTCTGTACTAAGTTTCTAGTTAGAATTCAGAGAATTTGAAGGATGTTTAGGGTTGCAAATTGAGTAGGGTTTTGGATAAATTTGTATTCAGATGCGGGTTTTAAGGAATCATTACCGGGACAAGTCCGAGTTCCGGCGGTGTTCAAGTGTGTTCGGGTGACGGCGGTGGACGACGGGCAGGATGAGATTGCTTATCAGGCTACTGTCAAGATTTGTGGCCATGTGTTCAAAGGGTTCCTGTATGATCAAGGGGTTGAAAGTAGGGATGTGTATCCGAATTTGTCGGAGCTCCATCTCGGCGGCGGCGGAGGTGGCGGCGGCGGTAATGGGGCTTCATCTTCATCCCCAATGCTGGATCCATCTGATGTATATGTAGCTTCAGGTGGAGGCTTACTTGGAGGAGGAGGATCCACTTATGGTAATCCAATAAATTAACATTAAAGTGTAAGCTAATTGTTGTTCATGTGCTGATTATTGGAGGAGATTCTGGGAAATTAATCAGTATTCATCATCATCATCTTCTTCTTCTGGGCTTTGTAATATTTATATCTTATCAGAAATGTGTATCGCTCTTCTTACGTTTCAACTTCTTTGACTTGATTCATATCTCTTCCTTTCTCTTAGTTTGCCTTTGTCATTTCATGAAATGAACAATAAATTATGACAAGGGAATCACATTGTCTGACTGTGGACAGCATAGTTCATCCACCATGGTCAGAGAATTGAAAACAAAACTGAGAAAGCTTTTATTTTTCTTTTAATGTTCACCCTCATGAATAGTCTAGAACTTATCTACTATAATAATATATTACTGTTTGCCTTTTCCCAGTATCCATTCATGACTCTAATTAGCTTCACATTTTGCTCTCTTTTATATCTTCTGTAATAAATTAATTTTGTCAAAAGGGGAAATCTACAGTGTAAAGTAATGATCATCATGAAAGTTTTTATTGTTTTTAATTATTATGTTCAGAATTTGTATTTCTGTACATAGTATTGAATGTGCTTCTTTCTGTTTATGCGAGCATCATGTGCCATTTTCATGATATTATTTTACATTGTTGGGTCATATTGTTTCTGTTCTTTCAGCTTTATTGGTGTTGGTTCTGTACAAATTGGAAAGAAACACAGCTTCTTTACACCCTTAACGTTAAAAAGTAGCTGTAAGGTCACCTTCATGGCTGTACTTTAATACCAGTTTATTAATGATATCACCCCCTAAAGTTCCTATATTCATAATTCAACTGTGTTTTGATTTCCTTTTTTTCTCTCTGGAATTCATACCATTGTCTCTGTGAAGCTTTTGTTTGTCCCTCCTGTATGATCCTACAATTTTGCATTGTTGTTTGTTTGTACATTGTTGCAGGATTCTCTGAGTCGTTTGAGGTATGAAACACATAAAATTTTCATGATTTTGATGTTTGGTGCAAGGGTTGGAAGTTTTAGAAGTTGATATATATGGTTTGTTTTCTATAATGGGTAAGGAATTATGCTTCTTTGGCATTCATCGGTGAGTAAAAGGCCGAAATGAAATGCATAGTCATTTGTTTCTAAATTGCTCTAATAATGTGGTTAATGTTTGATGCTTCACTTTAAACAGCATAAGCATCTTAATTTGTATACATTGATGTCGACCATGCCCAGCTTTTCTTGATTTGTTTATCTCTTTTTTCGCCGTCTCCATCATTTTTTTATTGTTCCATTGGGAACAAAACACAGATTAAAAATGCTAATCCTGATCTTTGTTGCTTCCTGGTATGTCATTTCTGCATAACAATGTAACTGTTGTTCAGAATTCCTGCTTGGCCGTTTTCAGTTCTTTATTATTGCTGCAGAAAGGTGCAGATATGTGTCAATTATTTTATATTGGTGGATTCTTGTTTTATCATTGTTAAACAAATGAAGCATTGTCCATATTCAGTGCATGCTTGAATTATCCTTTCTTGCACATGCCGTCCTCTTCTAGTTGTCCGAAACATGCATATTTTATATATATATATATATATATATTTGAGTTGGTGGATTTTATCAAGTGGATGGCAATATTCTTGTCATTTAGTTTTCTTTTTTGCTTGCCCCATGACTTTAATGGTAACTGAAAGGGCAGTGTCTCTGGTTCTCACCCACACAGATACATGCCATCTCTCGTTTTTAATATTAGAGTTAGTTGAAGATCAATTCACTTTGTTTCTTAAATTTATAATGTATTCTCTGAAATATTCCTATTGATTGCAATAGGTTCTTACTAAGAGATAGTTTCAATGCACGTGATTAGAGGGGGTAGTTTAGGAAAGACAATATATATTTGTTACAATCAACCAACTTGACCAATTTGTTTAATCTTTTTAAATTAGTTATCTAGCTCATATATGAAGGGCTGGAGGTAGAATGTGCGCGTGTGTGCTCTTGTATTTTTGTTATATTCTAATGTTAGATAGAAAATGACATTGGAAATTGCACAGACAATCTAATTTTAAGTGATATACATTCATGCTGCTTCTTGTGTCTACTTTTTTCCCCTTAAGCTTTGAGGCAGTTGGGGTGCTCTTCTGTGATATATCATATGCAAGATACAGTAATCCCTTTATTAGTTTATGAGACATTACTTTGTGTGTTGAAATGCCTTGTCTAAGTGATTTTTATGATATTAAGATTAAAAAATGTTTAAAAAGTCTCATATTGTACATGACAGGGTTAATCTGATGTGCATGTATTCAAGTATTGGGGCTTGGATGTTTGGAGTTATCTATTTGTGTCACTTTCCTACAATAACAATCTTTCCAGAGTTTCAAGTTTCATTTTCAACATGGTTAAGCTTGAATCATGAGATCTTGTAGCCAACGTGTTCAATGCTATATCTGAAAAAGCCCTTATATATACATACACATACACGTGTGCGTGTGCGTGTGTGTGTGTGTGTGTCTGATTCACTGCTGGATCCTGGCTCACGGCTTAAAAGCAGGATCTTGGCGGCCCAATTCGATCTAACCACTTGAACAATTTGTTCTTTCTAACACTGGTCGGTCCGGTACAGCCCCATAAATCCTCCAAATCTGTCATTAGTTTCTAGAACATTTGACTGAGTCGCCAATCACAGTTAAGCTAGGTTTTATGATATGTAATATGTTTGTGTGTGTGTGTGTGTGTTTATAAAACTCGTGTATGTGCTCTTTTTTCATATATAATGTGCTGGCCCACATCTATCTGGCTTCCTTATGAATCTCTTTTGAGTTTTCTGAAGTTTTTACTGTGAGACTTTCTGGGTTTATTTCCTTTCATCCACCTCCCAGCATCCCAGCATGTATTTCTCGCAGATCTCATATCAGAAGCCATTTCCATGAAGATCTAATATATTAGTGCATGCCACCTACACAAACACAGAGAGAGACTTGAGACAGGGACATATGCATGTGTCGTACAATGTTGGTGGGAGTACTAGGGTCTGATGAGAGCGATCCATTGAAATTATGAGAATCAAAGAATTGTTTGTATGTGGCCTACGTAGCAGAAGGAGGCAGTGACTTTATTCATATCCAACTCCGTTCTTTTTCTGCAACATCCATTCTCATTTATGTCATCCAACTTGTGACTTTGCTTCCTTCGCCTTCTTTTCTCTCTTTTTCGCTTTTTCTTTCCTACGCAGAAGATGATGTTGATTTTCATGTCATCATCTAGCTGTTTCCTTCTGATCCTGATCCTGATCCTGCCTATGCCTAACTTTTTTTTTTGGTTTCTTTTTGGTTCTTTCTCAATTTGACCACGGTCAATAATTACATGTCCTTTTTAATTTATCCTATAAAGGCTCGATCGCCACCCTGATCAAACTAACATGGTTTCTTTGGTAAATTTCATAAATGGTCATGCAGCATTATTGTATCATCAAGTTTAATTTGCGAAATCACTTGTACATATATATATGTAGATAGGTGGATATGTGTGTGTATAGAGAGATAGAGAGAGAGAGAGAGAGGGGGGCTGAGTTTGACGTATTGGATATTAGACTGTGAACCCGTCAACATGCAATGGTTGAAAATCTCTGAGCTAAACGAAGTAATGTCTATAATGATAATTTAGTTCTCTCTTGGATGTATGAGTTGTTTGACAATTAATTTATGGATATTAAAAAAATTAGTTAAATTAATTATTTGTAAATGAAGAAAAAATATATATATCTTCAATTTCAAAATTCCGAATAAAAAATTATTTGCTTCTGACCAAAAAACAAGTTTAGCCAATTGCTATAGAAAAGTAGTAAATAAAATTGATTTGACATTTTGAAATTCGTATTTGTTTTTGGATTTTCTTACAAAATAAATTTTATACATGGATGAAATGAATCAAGTAGGATAATTAATATTAGGTTGGTTGGGTGAGAAGGTGATTTTCCTTGAGCATGATTAAAAGTTTGAACTTTATAAGTGGAAGGGAAAAATCGGGCTAGATTTTAATTTTGTTTGATAATAGGAGTACTGTATATTATTATGTAGTAGTTTGTATTTAAAAAAATAGTAATAATTAATTGGTACTGTAGTTTTAACCATTTCTTGTACTTTTATAATGGGAATAACCCTAAAGGGGTGGTCTAGAATTCGTACACTTACACATCTAACTAAGGGTTGATAATAATTACAAAAGGTTGGATTTGGGTTTGATGATGTTCATATTTTTCCTTTTGTTTCCTGGAAAGATTTGCGTCATTTTCTTTTTACTTCTTTCCAAAAGTGAATATGATAAAAAAGATTGGGTTATGCATGCCCAATTAAGGAAAGTATCCAATAAAGGAATCGAATAATTATGAAGTTTATCTTCTAGCTTCTTTCCAAATGCAACTACACTGTATGGATGAAATGGCGTTACTTCATTCATGGTTTTGAATTAAGATCATTAATGAAGAATTATATATTTTCAGATAAATGTTATTTTAATTCTTTACCGAGTACTGCATAATATTGGGGAAATTTTTCTAAAAAGACATTTAGATAACTTCAGTTGTCGAAACTCTAATTAGGTCACATGACTTGAAGAGGGATTCTAAAAATTTTATAAAATAATTTTAATGTCCCTTTCATTAGAAATTTGGAGGGATGAGAATTTTCTATCGTTCCTGTGTTGCATAAAAACTCTAAACAAGAAAAACTTGGTGTCTATCTTTACAAAGTCGGAAAATTGATGAAGGAAGCAATAACAGTAGGTTCTTATATTAAAACTCTCTCTCTCTCTCTCTCTTAATTATGATAGTTATCCTAATATAAAGTTATTAATTTATAATTAAAATGTGCCAACTACAAAATGGAAGATGTTAACTTTCAAGATTACATTGTAATAAAATTTTATTCAAAGACTTATCACAAGTGTGTTATGGATATAAAGTGTTATGAATTTAGTATTAAAATGTGTGAACTGTAAAATAAAATATATTAATTTTTAAGGTTGTACTGTAATAAAATTTTATTAAAAAATTTATTGCAACTTTGTTTTGAAGATACAAAGCTGTTAGTTCAGAATTGCAATGGTAAGTACATCGTTGAGCTTATTAATTTGCAAGGTTATATTGCGAATGAATTTAATTGAAAGACTTATGAAAGTATATTATGAAGATAGAAAGTTGTTAATTTAGAATTAAAATGTGTTAACTGGAAAATGAAACATATCAATTTAGAATCTTTTATTTTTGGTTTATAACGAAAGGGATATTAGAATTACATCATAAAATTTTAAAATATTTTTTGGGATCATATGACTTGATTAGGAGTTTGACAAA